TTTATTTTTTTATGCATCAATGACCAATAAAAAGTGTTTTAATATTTTAAAAAATATTTAATGATTTATAGAAGTAAATTATTTATTTTGATTTGTATCTTTTGTTTGGGTAAAATTACTTATTTAATTTAGAAAAAATTAATTTAAAGAAAATAGAATTAAATAAAAATAAAATTATTTAAAATATATAATTTACTAAAAGTTAAATTACAAAAAACAGATTAAAATATTATTTTAAAAAATACAAAATTTATTGAAAATAGAATTTATTTACAATTAAATTTAAAAAAACAGAATTAAAATTTAATTTATTTAAAATAGAGAAATTAAAAATATAATTTAATGAAAATAAAATAATTTAAAATATAATTTATAAAAATAATTAATAAAAATATTTCTAACCATAAAAATGGCTAACATTTTAAGAAAATCATGGAAAGATCCTAAAAAGAGAGAAAAAAAATCTGTGCTCACCTGGCAACAACAAAAAGAAAAGAAAGTAGAGTTAAAACAACATAGCAACAATCGTAAACAGATAATTGAAGAAAGGAAAAAGAAAAAAAGAGAATACGTCCAAAAAATTAAAGATTTAAAAGAAAAAAAGAAAAATTAAAATAATAAATTTAATTGGTCATTTATTCTTGTTTCAAATATAAAAATAAAAAAAATAAAAAAATATGAGATTTTTAAAACTGAAGACAACTGCTCAGTTGATTAAATTTGTTGTACAAAATAATTTTACTAACTTTGTTAGGAGTACTTTAGCCCCTTACTCTTTAGATTATTATTGCTTGTTAGAGTGTAGATGATTAGTTTATGCTTATTCACAAATAAAAAAAATAAATTCTTTTTTTATTTAAGCTTTTATTTTAACTTCTCCTAAAATGGTAAATGACTATTTAACAAACAAAAAAAAATTGTGCATGAATTGGGAGTTAGTAAAACTGTACAGCTTGAAAAACAGAGAGTTTATGGTTTATGAGGAGTACATTTATGGCTTTGATAAGAATAACAAATTTAATAGATCATGGCGGTGCAAGATTAAAGGTTGTAAAGGAAGACTGTACACTGATTACGATGATAAAGAGGTGATTAGAATGGTTAAACATTCCCATGACAAATTACCTTTAGAAGTGGCACATATGATGATAGTTAACAAATTAAGAGGACTTATTTGAATAAATGATGTGAATTAATTTTTTAGATTCTTTTTTTAAAAAATTGGTAAGAAAATTAAAAAAAGAGTTTTTAAATTCTTTTTTGATCTTTTTAAATTTTTAATTTAAGAAGGGTATGACATTGCAAAAATTAGGATTGAAGGATTACTTGGAAATTATTACAAACAAATTTAAAACCAATAAGAAGATTAAAATCATTGCCATACAAGGACCTAGTACCTCTGGNAAGACTACTATTAGCTTTGCGTTACAGATTTTGTTAAAATTGGCTAATAAATCTTGTTACGTTNTAAATTTGGACGACTTCTACGAGACAAATCCTCAAACTGGTGACTTTTATGATTATGAAAATCCTGCGATCATCCGATGGGACAAAATTATCAACCTATTACACAGTTTTGATACTGGCAAAGACGTATTGGAGATCTGTAAGTTTAAGTTTAAAGACTCTTTTTCCAGTTCTCCAATCTTTATTGATAACCCCAAACCAGAATACATAATTGTGGAAGGATTGTTTTCCCATTANTTATTCTCAGACAAATTTTTCTGTTTTAATGAAATCAAATCAAACAAAAAAATTGAACAAATTGATTTTAAGTTAGCTTTTACCAAAAATTTAACAAACTTTTCTAATTTCGCAATTTTAAAAATTGCACTGACAACCCAAAAAGAACAATTGATTAGGATAAGAAGTGAAAGAGATTTAAAGGAAAGAAAATTTGACAGTGAAAAGGTAAGAAAGATGCTTGAACATGTTTGGGCAAGCACAGAAAACTGGGTTTACAATTATTCCTTGACCAATCCTGACATCATTGTTGAAAATGGGTCATTTAATTTTGAATCATTGAATTTGTTAAAGAAATCTTTTATGAGGTATTTACTTAAGAATGAAGGATTGAATCTTAAAAATGTTAAGAAATCTCCTTTTGTTTTTGAGTTATCTGAATTGATGAATGATAATTAAAATAATTAGGAATTTATTAATTTTTTAAAAAAGATTATTTTTTTTAAAAACATTTTTATGATTAAAAAATAAAAAATTCTAAGAAGACAAAATGTTCTAATCTTTTTAATTTTTAATAAAAAAAGAATCTTAGATTTTATAATTTAAAAAACTTAATTTTTTTCAAAAATAATTTATTTTTACCAAATATTGGATTTTTTTTTAAGATTAATTTTCTTTGGTATACAAATTAACATTAGTATGTTTATTTTAGTTCATAATATTTTAATACAATATTAATATTACTCTCTGAAAAAATCATCTATAAATTAAATAATTAATTGATAAATATTGATTTACTTTTTTGATATTTTTTTTTGAGGAGTGTAAAAATATTTTATTTTTTAATTTAAGTATTAAAAATGAAATATTAATAGATGGATCACTAAAATTAAAAGATATCTTTAAGTAATTCATTTATAATATTTTTTACGGCATTACGCCTAAAAAAATTTTTTTTATTAAATGAAAAGTAAAACCTTTTAATTTTTTTGAGAAAAAACAAGGTTTTCATAGAAATTAAGGAAAAATATGTGAAATCTACTTTAGCGAATAAAATATAGAACATGGTGACAGTGACGAATATTTCTGGGATCCAAGTGAGCCCTTCAGTCAAGTGACTAAAATATCTTATGACGAAGTAAAATACATGATGTGTAAAGGGTTAGAATGAAAAAGTAAGTAGCTGACCAGTCATCGCCAATATTATTTTTTGATTTAAAATCGTGATCTTGATCGTTCTTTTAATATTTTATAAAATTTTAAAGAAACTTAACAAATCTTTTTTTTATTCTAGTAAATTACGAATTAGGAATTATTTAATTATTAATTTAAATAAAAAAAAAAATTCTACGCTAAACACGAGCGATTCATCTAGAAATAACTTGAATAAAAGCATAAAGAAAAACAACTTCCTCAAATTTATTTACTCAAAACATATCTTATTTGAGTGAGGGCCGCGAGAGCATAAAAATATATTAAATAAGTGCTGAATTAAAAGGTATAAATAGCTTGTTAGGTCCATACACGCGATATGAGTTATGTGCTTAAGAATCTATTGAAGTTATGATGTCATTATTAAAAAGTTACAACTTATAATTTAATTTTTTTAAGATGGGTTAGGTATCTTGCTGGAAACTTGAAAAAAATTACATTTTTAATAAAATCCTTCCTTGGTAGACATTATTTACAAAGATTTCAAATTTATTAATTTAAATTCCTTATTTTTTTGTAAAATAAATTCATTTTTATAAGTTATTTTATGTGTGCACATTTTATTGTAAAGTGACATATGTTTACTTTGTAAATTCTTCTTATATTCGTGAAAATGATTAATTATTATAATTTTATTTCCTTTATAAACACATTCCCATAAATTATTAAAAATAATTAAAGGATTATTTACTTGATCAAAGTAAAAGTTTAAGTAATCTATGATTATTGTTTTATTGGTTTGTTTTTCTAAAAAAATAAATAAGTCATTTATGTCAAAAATAAAATTTGTTACAAAACCAGACAAATAGAAATTTAAGTTACAATCCACTATGATTAAATTTGATTCTTTGTTAAAAAAGGAGTAAATTTGTTTGTTAGGCATGGTACACAACTCAATCAAAGTGTTTTCCTTTACTAATTCTTCAATCATTATCATATAAAAATATAAAAAATTTATTTATTTCTAAAAAATGAAAATAAAAAAACTAAATTATCAAGGCATAAACAATCTTTCTTACATCATTTCTACACTCTTTTTAATACAATTATTGTTTAGAAACATAAGAAAATATGGGCTTATACTTTGTATTCCGTTAGAGACACTTACTTTAACTGAGATAGAAGCATTTATCGTGTTTCTTTTCTTAAATTTTATAAAGTGTGCATTAGTTTATGCAACAGCAAACTTTACAAGATTTTCTTTTTTAAATCTATTTTTAATAGAATTTCTGATTGGTTTAGTTATCTCCCTAGCAATGACTCATTTATATTTTTCATTTTTCTGTGTTGGATTTAGTTTGTATTTTTTTACTAAATTAATTTCATTTATTTTAGAAAATAAATTCGTAAAAAAAAGAAAAAATAAAAAAATAAAAGAAGAAAATAATTTAAAAAATTATTTAAATTTTCTTTTATTTCCAACTGTGATTTACAAAAAAAATTTTAGAAGAAAAAAGAGAATAAACGGCTTTAAAATAGTCAAAAAAACATTTATTTTATTATTTGCATCTTTATTGATTAATTTTATAGCTGATCAGATTGCTATTCCCACCCTAGGAATTCTAATTAACAATTCTAAAATATCTATTTTTTTAGAATATTTTCTTATTTTATCAATTGTCACAATTTTAATGTTTATTTTNTTTTTTATNATTGTTTTTATTTGTGTTTTACCAATTTTTGCAGAATTAACATATTTTAAAAATAAAAAGTATTTTTCTGATTGGTGGAATAAAAAAACAGTTGCAGAATTTTGGTCTTCTTGGAACAAGGAGATGCACCATTGGTTTAAGTCTTACATATTTAAACCAATGGTAAAAAGAAATTACTCAAAAAGGTTTGCAGTTTTTACATGTTTTTTTGTTTCTGGACTGTTTCATGAGTACGCAATTTCTATTTCGTCAAAAACTTTGAGGTTTTATACTTTTTTTGGGTTTATGGGTCAGTTAATTTTGATGGAGAGTACTGATAGAATAGCAAAAGCAGTGCCTAAAATTGGAAATTATTTGTTTTGGATGATGTTTTGTGTAATTGGGCAACCAATTTGTATTTGGCTTAATTATAAATCACAGTATAATAAATATATAAATTTATTAAAAAAATAGCACCGCGAAGTTTCGATCTTCGGACCTACAGGTTATGAGCCTATCGCGCTCCCACTGCGCCACGGTGCTAATAGTAGTAAACATGGTTGTATAAATGTGTATTTGATAAAACATTTTTGTTAGAAGCATTTAATTGAAACATTTTTGCATTAAAAATATTTACGAATTAAAAAAATTTGTAAAATAAATCTTTTTGAAACACAATTTTNTAAGAAAAAATACATTTTATCATTGATACTCACTATAAAATATTTGCATTTGCGGTCATATCCACTGAAAAACATTGAAATCTAGTAGATTTCTAAAGTGAAACCTGTGTGAGCTTGATTAGTACTATGGTGGGCGTCTATATAGGAACATCGAGTATTGTAATTTTTTATTTTTTAATATTTTTTATTAATAATTTTAATAAACTCATGTCTGACAAGAGAATAGCAATCTTTCCAACAAGAATGAACAAAACGATCATTGAAACAAAACTAAAAAGTGCAGAAAAAGGTCATAGTCTGCTAAAAAAGAAAAGCGATGCTTTACAAGCCAGATTTAGACAACTACAGAAGGTTTTAGATGAGAAAAAGAGAGTAGCTGAAACATTCATTAACAATTGTTATGATAGTTTAGCACACTCAGAATACCTTGGTGCTTCAGTTTCTACTTACATTAATGCTTGTAAAAAGAAGCCTATTTTTATTGATACTTCAGTAGAACAAGTGTCTGGTGTTTCAATACCTAACTTTAAAGTTATACAACATGACAAAGCACCAGTAATTTCCTATGGCAAGACAGGTCAATCACTTATGAAATGTAGAGATCAGTTTATTACCGCTTTAAATTTATTGGTTGAGTTATGTATGTTACAAAACTCTTTCCGTGGCTTGAATGAGGTATTTCAAAGCACCAACAGAAAAATTAATTCTTTAGAGTTTTTGATGATTCCTAAATTAAAAAACACTCTTTCCTACATTTTTTCTGAGTTGGATGAGAATGAAAGAGAAGAATTTTTTAGGTTGAAAAAAGTACAAAATGTAAAAAAAAGAATGGAAAATTCAAAATAAATTTTTCATATAAAANCATTAAATTTTTGACAGCTGATAAGATTTTAAAAAATATCTTTTATTTATTTTTTTATTTTTTGATAAATTATTTTTTATTTATTATTTTAACAAATTATAAATAAATTTGAAACAATTCTCCTTTAAATTTAAAAAAAAATAAATCCCTAAACAAGCATGAAATTAAAGAAGAGACAAAGCTTGCTCGACGCAATAGATTTCATCAGAATGGGATCAAGAGCACTCTTTAAGGATGATTTTACTAAATGTTTTAGACCAATCAAGCCTGGAGAGCTGAATGGTTCGGGTATCTTTTACATTTTCTCATTGTTAATCAGATACTTTTTTCTTCTACCGTACAGAATACTTTGGTTTATTGGAGGTTCAGGGATTTTTTTCATTTTGTTCATTAAAGCAATAATTAAAAATGACGAAAAGAAAATAGCAGAGTCATTTCTATTTTATTGTAAAGTTTTTGTGACTTCTTTCGGAGCAAGGATAAAACATTTTGGTAATAAAAGAAAACTTCATGTTCCACATGTATTTGTAGCCAATCACACATCATTTTTAGATTATTTGGTGCTTTCTTCTCATAAATTTGCACACGCAAGCGTTGCTGAGTCACATGGAGGATTGTTTGGGTTCCTNTATAAAAGTATTTTAACTAAAAATGGGTCACTTTTATTTAAAAGAAGTGATAGAAATGATAGAACTAAAGTATTAGGAATGATAAAAGAACACGTGGCTAAAAATAAAGCATCAATGCTTATTTTTCCAGAAGGTACATGTGTAAATAATAAATATTCAGTTTTGTACCAAAAAGGAGCATTTGACTTAGAAGCAGTGGTTTGCCCAGTGGCTATAAAATATAGAAAGAATCTTTTAGACCCTTACTGGAATACTTCTAAGCACACTTTTTTTATTCATTTGTTGTATTTGATGAGTAGATGGAAATTAGATGTAGAAGTTCATTGGTTACCACCCAGAGTGAAATTAGAGGGAGAAATACCAGCAGATTTTGCTATGAGAGTGAAAAGAATTATTTCTAAAAAAATAGGACTTAAAGATGTAATTTGGAATGGGTATTTTAAGAGTGCACCAGTTTTAAAAGATAGAGAGATTCTTAAAGAAGCTTTTATTAAAGTTTATAATAAACATGCCAGGTTAGAAAGTGATTTTATAGATTCTTCTCTTCCAGAAGAAAATAAAAAAAGAGAAAAAAAATGGGAAAATATTTACAAAGAAATAGTTTCTGATCCAGAAGATGAATATTATTTTTATGGGTTCAATTATAGAAAGTATTTAGATCATTCTTTAAAAGAATATTGCTTTTTAAAGAATAATCCACAAAAATTAGCAGAATTACAAAAAGAAAAAGAAGTTATTTTTCAAACTGACCAACTTTTATGGCTTACTCAACCAGTAAGTGATGATAATCCTACACCTTGTAATTGTTTTAAGAAAGTAAAAAAGAAGGTTAATAAAAATCAAAGCAAGAAAGCATTAAACAAAGATAAAGCAAACAAAGAAATCACCAAATTTTATTAGGAAAATAAGATAAATAAAATTAATAAAAATATAAAAATTGTTTATTTAAATTATAATTATTTTTACCTCTTATCTTTTTTTTTGAATTAATTTTTAAATAAATAAAAAGGTAAAGTTATGTAAGAAGTTTAAAATCTTGTATTTATTTTGTTCTGGATTTATGATTGATAACTTAATTTTACTATAATACAATCTCTATGTGCGATAGATACTTTTAGATAAATATTTAACTTAGAAGTAGGAAAAGCAAACCCATCTAACTTTTTTTTGTCTAAGGATGGCAAATTTGTAGAAAAATCTACTATTATATTTTTTTATTCTCATAAAAGATACTTATTTGATAAAAAATACAAGACACTGTATGTTTCTACATAACAAGGTATATTTCAAGATACTATGAGCCTTTTACCCACTAAAACCCACCCCGTACACTCTATTTACACCTTAAGTCAAATTCACTTCTCAAGCTTATGTCAGAGAAAGAAAAATAAATCTCAAAAAATATAAATTAAAGAAAAAAAGAATTGACTGCTCTATCAGTTTAGGTGTTGGTTTCACATCACACAGTTTAAATGTATATTAAATCCTAATATTAGATATTTAGTTAAAAAATAAGATGAAAGATTAAAAATAACTTAAGTTCTTATTAATCGTACAAAAACTTGTTATTTAAAATATTTAAATGTAAATTTTTATAAAATGATTTTTTAACAAAATTTCAAAAAAGATTATATTTTTAATGCACCTTTGATGGATTATCATGTGTTTATAAAATACTTATTAAAGTTTGTTTGTATAATTTATTAAAGTAATAAAACTTTCATTGATTACTTTCTTCTTTAAATTTTTGATGTCTATTTCAAAGTTTTGAAAAATAAATTAAATTATGAACAAACTAAAGTATTCACTTTGTTTTAAAGTTTCTTATTTTTATTACAATTTTTTAATATATTAGTGTCGTATCTTGAGAGATATGACCTAAATAATAAGTTTTTTAAAAAATGGATTTTATCTTTTGTTTATTTAAAATTCTCTTTCTGTTAGACATAGGTATTTTTATTCAAAAATTATAAATAAAAAATAAACTATAAACTGAGGTTTTTAACCCATTTATAAAATATTGTGTTATGAAGATATAACAATTAGAAATAAATATTCATGTTTTACTCAGAAAATACCCGCGATTGATTTTTATCTCTGTGCCAGGGCTATCATGTTAATAATAACCTGACACTGACTTTTATGTCATTAAGACATTAATTGCCTGTTTTGTACTAGATGATCTAGAACATTAAAAGTATAAATAAGAATATAAAATAGATAAAGTATGTTTTCAGGTAAATATCCAATTTATTTAAATAACTTAAATAGTAATATTAACTCCTCAAACAATCTCAAAACAAAAGAAACCTTATCTTTCTTTATTATGGCTTGATATTACTAAGAAATTTTCATATGTTTAAGTCAATTTTAATAAATTAAACTTGTTATGATTAATAATATTGAAATAAGATTAAAATTTAAATTAATTTATATTTAATAAATATTTATAATATTTTGTATAAAATATAAATTAATTTAAATTTTAATCTTATATTAATATTATTTATTATTTTTATAAAAGAATATTTATTTATTAAAAATTAAAATATTATATTTTATTTAGGTGAACCCTTAAATGTCTGAATATGAAACATACAAAGCTTTACAAAAAGAGCATAAAATACTTTTACTAAAAGAAAGATTAATCAAAGATGAACTTAAATCTTTAGAAAAAGAAGTAGTGAGAGCTAAGGATGAAATAAACAGAGTAAAAAGTATTCCTTTGATCATGGGTCAATTCTTAGAAGTCATAGACAATAAAACAGCTATAGTTATGAGCACAGCTGGAATGCACTCAGTGGTAAATTTACTCTCAACTGTTGATAAATCATTGCTAAGACCTAACACAACAGTTGCTTTACACAGACATTCTTCAGCAGTGGTGGATGTTTTACCACCTGAGGCTGATTCTACTATCCCTGTTTTAGGGGAAGAAGAGAGACCAGACGTAACTTATGCTGATATAGGAGGGTTAGATGTTCAGAAACAAGAAATAAGAGAGACAGTAGAATTACCTTTGTTACAGCATGAATTGTATAAACAAATAGGAATAGATCCACCAAGAGGAGTATTGCTTTATGGACCACCAGGCACAGGTAAAACAATGTTAGTCAAAGCAGTGGCTAACCAAACAAATGCTACTTTTATAAAAGTAAATGGGAGTGAATTTGTGCAAAAGTATTTAGGAGAAGGACCCAGAATGGTAAGAGATGTTTTTAGGATGGCAAAAGAAAAAGCACCTTCCATTGTTTTTATAGACGAAGTAGATTCAATTGCTACTAAAAGGTTTGATGCTAATACCAGTGCAGACAGAGAGGTACAAAGAGTTTTACTAGAATTACTTAACCAAATGGATGGATTTGATCA